TGCACCTGCACACACAGCGCCTCCACTCGTGCAAAAAAAATACAATGCCTGTGAAGGAGGCCTGCTCAGGACAGCTGCTGTCCTCGCTGGAAAGACGGGCCGAGGGAGGGAATGCATCTGTTTCCCGTGCTTGTGCCATACTATCCCTGAAGGGGGGGCTGCCTGCCCAGGACAGGTGCCAAGGCACCCGCCGTGGTTCCTTGACGCACTGCCTTGGGGTGAGGAGCGTCCGAATCTGGTCCTTCGGTGGGAAGCAGCTCTACCCAAGATGGTTTTTCGAAATTGTCGCACATCAGAAATGCGTTATGTTCTGCCTGTACGATTCGGTCGATCTCCCTCCGGAGGGCACCGAAGTTTTGAACCAATTTCTGTTGAAGGTGGGATCCATGGTCTCCAGAGTGGTTTTGTACCACATGCTTGTGAAGGGAAAACAGACGCATGCAACGTCGTGGACAACAGATGGATCACAACACATTGAGCCGGTAAAATCACAGGAGAGACATCTTGGAAATGCAGCTTGGAATTTTGGAGCAAAACCACAGTGAAGGTGTGAGAAGAAGAGCACATATGATGTGTCGTGGAATGACAGATCTTTCACAGAGAACACAGACGATTCAGGTGCATTTATTCTGGGATTGAAGAAGTCAGCGACCGGGAGTATTGGCAAGAGCTACATCATTTCAGTAGCGACAACGAAGCAGGCGATTCAAATGATGGAAACAACAATTGATTTTGCAATGGAATTTACAATGCATGTTTTTTGATTTGGATGACCTGTGAAACCATCTGAACCACAGGCATTCAACAGTGAGTTGAAGTATCGTGCAACATCTGAACCACGATACATACGTGACACTACGATTGAACTCAGGTGAATTTTACATTGGCTGATGCAGCATTGTTTGAAGATGCGTGAAACCAGCTGAACCACGCATATGGAAATAGAATTTGCAGAACGATGCATGGAATAGTGTGCAAGTATGCACCGGAACGGTAGCTATGCATGATAGCTAGAACAGTTGTAGAAGACCTTGTCAGTTCCACCTAGCAGAGGGTGGATTCTACAAATCGAGAAATGTACAAAGAAAGGGTGGAGTGTCGACTCACTTCATCACACTCCAAGGGGGGGTGTTAATTTTTATAGGTACACATACAGGTACAAAGATGAATGTTGTTTAATGTGCAGTTGATGTCATTGGAAATGTAATATCCGTTCATATCAGTTCAACCGCCATAGCGCTCGGGTTCAAAAGAAAGCTGCTGCCTAACAAAGTTTCAACTTGCCTTGCATTTGCTTTTTTGCTCTTTCATATTTCTTTTGCGCTGCACCATCAATTTCGTTCGATTGCTGACATTGTCCCTGACTGGCCATCTGTGAGCACAAACTCAGCAATGAGAGGCTTGACATCAAGGCACGGGAAAAAGTATACATTGTTTCAAACTTCAGGCTTGTGGGCTTTGTACATTAGTCTCTCACGCACAAACTACCAGCGATGCAAGGCTTGACCTCCCTGCACGCCTTGAGAGGGAAAAAACGAAAAACAAGGCACAGTGCCCCGATTTCGATCGGTGCCAGCAACTTCGCATTGATTGTAACGATGAAACATTTTTTAATTCGATCCTTCACTTCTTTTGTTTCACCACTTTGTTGCAAATTCATTTTGTGGGGGGAAACGTTCGGAGTTGACTCACTCAAGGTGGAGGTTCTTCACTTTGTTTTTTGCGGTGCCCAGAGGTCAGAGGACGTTGATGTCCGATGCGTGTTGATCCTGTTTTGCCCTTATTCCCCTCTTTTATTTGCCTTTATTTGTGTCAGAATGCAGGGCCTTCATTTGTTTTTTGCTTCTCGAATGTCCTCCATTTTTCAGTTTGAAACGTGAGTCTGATGAAAACGCTGCTTGAGAATGCTCATGCTGTGTTTGCAAGCTTGCACGCAATGCTTGTGAAGCCTGGGAACTGTACTGTGTGCGCACATATTTGTTTAAGCATTTTAAACATATGTTTGTGCGTAACATCCTGTGGTACTGGTTTGCGCTTATACTTTTTGTAAGCATATATTTTTACAATTTTACACATGCAAACAGGACTTTTCATCGGGGCCACATATGTGCCTGTTTGGTGTTTTGTTGGGCCCACTCGCGGTCGGAAGCTCTCACGGATTCTTGATTTAGTGCTTGATTATTTTGGAGTTAGCTATCTGGGGTGTTATGCCGTTGTGATCACTTTCAATTTTTCAAAGGGCCGAAACAGAGATTTTGCAGAAAAGTAGTGACCATGGCCCTCTCAACCACTTTGGTCTGTCGTGGCTAGGGATCACAAGGCCCAAGGACCAACACAGTTTCCCCTCTTTTTCCTTTTGCTACGAACCATGGACATTTGTCAATGTTATGTGTGACACAGTTCATTTCTATTTTGTCAAAAGGAATTGATCATTTCTCAGGTATTGTCACAACCATCTCATTGCAATCGTCATTTCAGTTTTCTTGGCTGGTGAATTTGAGTGTGTCAGGTGTGGAATACTTTGCGAGATACGCTCGTGAAAGAATCGGATTGCAAATTGTTACCAAAGTCCTCCTGATCTCAGTTTCTCCCAAAACTTAGTGTAGGAAAAAATACACGTGCATTTGACTGAAGAGCAGTGGCCCATGCCTGCTTTACTCTGGTGGGTCAAGAACACATGATGCTTTATGGACTGTCGGTTATGCGGGACGGGTGATTTTTTGTTTGTTTGTTTGTTTGTTTGTTTAGGATTTTTGTTGCCCTTTTGCAACGCCCTCGTCTTCGATTTAACGTTATTTCGTTTTTAATTCCTGACTGACCGTGCGCTGCGCCCTGACCGAGGCAGCTTTGAGTACAAGAGGCAACCATTGTTTCCCCAGAAGGTGCTTGGGGAATGGTGCCCTCGTGACCGACGAACTGGTGTTTCGCAAATTTTTGGTTAATTAGGTTTGGACCACGGACTTGTGCTTCAATGCTGCGCTTGCCTCACACATTGTGCTGCCATTTCGTAGCACAAAAACACAGCAAAACAGGTAAGGCGTCAGATGCACTGAGAACTTCTTTTTTTGGGGACTACTTTTTTAAAACGAAGCCAGGCGGTCTCGTCATTCTTGATGTCTGAAAGATCTTCTAGTCGGACTGCTTAAGTTATCCAAAACCATTTGTTTCTCTGGTTGCTTCCCGAAGAGTGCCATGATGGATAGAGCTGGCCATGTGAGCAAAGTTGTTTGACGACTGGCTGCATGTCTCAAGGTGGGAGATGAAGATGAAGAACGAACACGTGACCATGAACAATGGCAACGAACGAACGCGTAGGGAGTATTCCAAAAAAACCGTAGCGGTCGGTAAAGAATCACCATTTTGGGGAAAGGTCTGCAACCCAACTATCATCGTCCACTGAAACCTAGTCACGGGATATACCGTACCCAGAGAATCTACAGTCAACGAGCAGTGACATCTCAACGGCCCCAAATCCGATTTTTTGACACCTTCCAGTTTGGGTCGGTTCAGGTTCAGGTTCAGGTTCAGCTGTTCAGTGATTCGCCTATTGCAGGTGCAAAGGATGCGGATGGTGGGCCTTCATCAAGTACATACACAGGTGGAAAATCCACAGATTCTTCTGCCACCTACAAGGGTTCCACCGGATATCCGAATCCTCCAGGCAGTGCCGCTTCGAAGCCTGTGACGCTGCGTGCAGCAGTGAAAGCCTGTGAGGTTGATGCTGTCACAAGGGCATTGCAGAAATTGGAGAATGTTGACAGTTGCCAATCAGTAGAGGCTGCCCTGGATGCGACGGATGGCATGGGTCGCACCTTGCTACACTTGTGTGCTACCAATTCACTTCGCTTGGGCACTGATGGAGTTGTGAATGTTCTGTTGGCACGTCGGGCTCGACCCGATGTGCGAGATTGCAATGATCAAACGCCATTGGCCATCTCTCTGGCAGTAGTGGCTTCGGCAGATCAGAGGGCTGACACGGCTGACTCTGTTGCAGGGTTCCATGTGGCTCACGGAGTGGTATCCTCGTTGTTGCGTGCCAGGGCCACAGTCGTGGGATTCTTGGCAGAATTTTGGATTTAACATTTTTCCAGTTATAGTGTTCAGAAAACTCTGAATTATGTGTGTTGTTTGTTTGTTTGCTTGCGTGCTTGCTTGCTTGGTATTTTAGATGTACACACACATATATATATATATTTCTTTTTCGCGTTTTCTGTTTTTGTTTTCTTTTGTTTGTTTGTTTGTTTGTTTGTTTGTCAACATGTTGTACACCTATAAGACAGGTGATTCCAGTCATATCTTGCAAGTGTTTTGTATTGGCAGGGCAAGACGTGCTAGAGAAGCGCTTGGCGTGTGGCGTGCCAGAAGTGCCAGAGGCGAACGAATTCGTTGCATTGTTGCAGAGTTGGATACATTGTTGGATGCAATACATCAACTCAACTTTTTTGTCCAGCTTCATGAGTTGTGAGCCATCTGTGAGTCTGGACTTCTTTCAAGTGATTGCTTTCTTAAAACTCACTCCTTTTTTGTGCAGAGTTCTTTCTCTAGGTGGAAGATGCCATGCACAACATCCTGTCGCTCATGAAGGCTCGCGGATGAAGGCTGCACAGAAAAAAAGCTTTTAAGGGAACAATGTGTCCGCCGCATGGGAGCAATGTGTTTCGGGAACTTGTGTTGTGTTCAGCATTCTTCGGACACCAGAACAGTCCGTTCAGGAAGCTGGCGACGGTCTGGAGGCCGTTTTTAGGGAAAGCGACACGTCACGAATGGAAGAAACACAAGTCACAAACGAATTTGGGTTTGTATATAGTTGACTACTGTACACGACGTTGCCTTTAAAGGGACACAACGAGGACATTTGACCTATCTATATCATCCGAAATTCGTATTGTTTTGCTGACAGTGACATGGCTTTGCTATGCTTTGCTTCCGATGAAGCGAGATGTTAGAAATAACTCATCGACAAACGCATGCAGGACACGGAGACCATTGCTCAGAAGCTTATGCTTGCTGTTGATGGGCATGATGCCACGGGCGTGGAGTGCCTGTTATCCAAAGTGCATGCCAGGTCCAATGGTGGCTCTGCCACAAGTGACTTGACTCGCGCATTCGATGTTGATGGGAACACACTTCTCCACAGGTGTGCCGCAGGTCCAAGCAGTGTCTCTGAAGAAGGAAAGGATGGAGAGAAAGTGGTTGAGTTCCTGGTGGCTGCCCGGGCAGATGTGAACAACAGCAACTTGCTGGGTGAAACACCCTTACTCGCAGCCGCCCGCGGTCGACCAAGCGTTGGTGTTGTATCGGCTTTGCTGCGTGCTCGGGCGGACCCAAATCATCCAGACACCATTGCATCTGAGACGGCCTTGATGGAACTGGCATGCCAGGGCGAGACAAACTTGTGTCGTCTGCTCCTGGAAAGCCATGCTGATGGGTTGCTTCGAAACCGCCACGGACGCAATGCCAGGGACTTGGCCATCGAGAATCGTCACAGCTCTTTGACAGCATGAGTGACGTACCGAAAAGCACAGAGATGTTGAGCAACCTTTTGATTCTTTGTGGAAAGATAGAACGTCGTGTTCGACGCGCATCGAAAGTATTTCCATGTATTTCCTTCTCTTTAGAGAATTGATGCGGACCTTTTCTTCTTAAGGCCTCCCAGCACTGAAAGTTGTTTGGATTTCTCCATGAACCGGCTCTGTCCACCCATTTTTTGCTCTCTCCTTCTCTCCCATCTACGTTTTTTTTTTTTTAATTTGATGGAGTCCTTCTTGCTTAAAGGTCCCTGCCTTCCATGGAAAGCTGACAAACAAAAAGAGTAAGAAGAAAGCACTCCATTAAGAGGAAATGCTCAGACTTCTCCTTTTGTGACCAATCCTTCCCACACACCGGCCAACATGACACCGGGGGTCGAGCATGGGGTGCGGTCTAGAGACCTCGGGTGGTCGAACGCTTGTTTCAATATATATATATATAATATATACATACAAATATAACGAGTCAGAACAAAACATCAAACAGTATTGGTGTACTTTTTCTACATAATTGAAATGAAAAGCATCGAATCAAAGTAGGAGAAGAGCCCAAACCTACAGTTTTATAGAGATGCTTTGCTTTCTTAGTTTGTTCTATTCCTTGTTTTTTTCCTTCTCCTTGCATTTCTCCGAACACTGGTTTTCGGCGAAAGCACTCTGATCTGCTTATTTGGGAAAAGCAAGAAAGGGTCGTGACAGGCTCGTGTGAAAATCTTGTCCTCCTCGTCCTGTTGTCTTTGGACCTTTAGACCTTCCGACCTTCTTCGTGGCTCCAACGTCTCGTTAAAAAAAAAAGCGTTCTGAGGATCCAACATCGAACAATCCAAACTAAACATTCGAATTCGTTGCACGAAGCGGAGTCAAGGCAAGAATCAATTTGGCGTCAAGAGGAAGGCACGGCGCACGCTGAACCCCGACCCAATTGGGTGACCGAAAAAGCGCATCCGGGTGGACCCGCCTCGCCGGGTCACGGACCACCGGGACCGCCGGCACGGTCCCGGCTCGGGACCCAACGTCACGTCCGAGTGACGGAGCTCGCTCCAGGGGTGGCCGTCGCGAGCGAAGTGGCCGTCGCCCGGTCGAACAGCGAAGTGGCCGTGACTCCCCTTAGTGTGCGGTTTTCGGAACCCAGGGTAACGGATCGCGGGGGTGTTCGATTTCGGACGTTGAGCTTCTCAAGAAATCCCATCTTTTCTTTCCGTAGACTGCCATAGGCGCACACACACACACACGACCTTCACATCAGGCTACTAGTAGCGTCCTCTGCTCCTAGTAGCGATGCCCTTTGTTCCCAATAGCGTCCTTGTTACTCCTAGTAAGGCCAGGAGCTACGTTCGTAGCGTCTTGCCCAAGGCCCAGGCCGTGTTCACACAGCACATGCCTCGTGTTCACCGAACCTCGGAACCGAACGACCCTCGCGCCATGCGCACGCTCGCGGGGGCCCTGCACTCGCCGAGGCGAGGTCGTGCTCCTTTTCGGCGAGTTTGGCATCACAGCCGACGCAGCCGGAGCACCTGCTGTCGATTTGGATGCGCTCCAGGCAGTGCAGCGGTGTGATTTGGAAAGGATGCAAGGCTTGCTTTCTGATTTGACAGATCATGAGTGCCAAAAGCTATTGACCAGAGGGGTAGATGATTCAGGGCGTCAACTCTTACATATCGCTGCTAGCAAGGGCAGTGAGGAGGATGCGGCGGACATGGCAAGGCTGCTGCTAGACTATGGTGCCCCCATGGGTGGTGCAGATTTTGCTGGTGAAACTCCTTTGTCCTTAGCCGTTGCCGCATCCTTAGATGCTGTTTTGCGGGGCACCGTTGAAGGCGAAAAGGGTGCGAGCAAGGATGGGAGCGCTTGGGCAGCTCTGGACACCATTCGCGTGCTTCTGGTGGCTGGCGCCAGTCCAAGCGATGCAATTGGCTTGTCATCATCGACTTCCAAGCTTCGTGAAGCTTTGCAAGAACATCCTGAAGATGTTGCAGATCTGTGCCGCCTGCTGCAAGCCTTTGGAGCTGAGTTCCAGACGGACGCCGAGGACCCGGACGCGGACGCATCCGAGGATCGTGACTTCACCGAGGATCGGGAATCAGTTCCACCGGATTTGGAGAAACGACTCGGCTCCTTAGGTGCTAAGGTGGTCATGGCCTCCTGCAGCAAGTGGCGCCAAATGAATGCGAAGCAACTTCGTGCTGAATGTGCTGAAGTTGGAATCCCAACCGATGGGTGTGTGGAGAAGGGCGAGTTGATTGAGCGCCTTGCCATGTTTTGGAACCAAACGCCTCAACTATTTGGGTTTGTTCCCAACATTCTTTGCTTTTTGATGCCTTTAGCATCCGATGGCAACTCAAACCGCGTCTCTGCTTCTGCCACTGATGCTGTGTATGATGCCCATGCCCATGCTATTTGTATCGACGGCCACTCTTGCTTTGGGGTCGACATTTGTCTTTACGTGCTTTTGCTGTTGCGATATACCCTACTGTACTTCCAAGAGGCAAAGCTGCAGCACTAAACTGGCTGAGCTGACTTGAGCGCATTCGCCCATTTCAAGAAGCACAATTTTTATTTGTTTGCCTGCTTGGGGTTTGATTTGACTGCTCCAGCCACAAAAAAGGCCAACCCAAAAATCCAAGTGGAAGCCTTCCTTTCTTACTCTTGGTGGCTTTTTATAGTCATGCGTTGTTGGTTCAAACCATTTGGTGCTTAGACCTTCTTGAGGCGACTTCGACAATTGCGGATTTGGCAGGCAATGCCCTTGAGTGTGCTACAAGAGGCTTGCGCTGTCTGTGCTGTCACCTATTTTCCATGTTTGCTACTGGGATTAGGTTGGAGGCCATCGCTGCGATCGGTTGGAGGGTTGTTGATTTGCACCCTTCCGATCACCGATCGCCTGGCTCGCAGTCGTGTGCAGGAGATCGGCCAGAGGGGCCTGTCACGTGCCGAGATGTCGCGGGCCGAGATGGAGGAGCTGCCAGGGTCGGGACCAAACGGCGACGCCGCCGGGGACATCAAACCCCCAGACTACTTCTCAAATAGTGAAATGAGTAGATTTTTGAAAATATAGATCAGAGCAGCCGGCATCAAGCAGGACCTACTAGGGCATTTCTCTTTCACTCGCTTTCTTCCTTTCACGCAGGACCTGCTGCTGGTTTCGATGTACAACGGCCGCAGTCGTCGTGATCGTATTCTGGAGAGCTGTTTGAGCGTTGTACCGAGCTGCAGGGCGAATGAAATGCGCCCTGATGACATTCAGGAGATGTGCAAGAGTAAGAACATTCCAATCGATAAGTTAAGCGATTTGAACAAGGTGGGGACCGTTTTCACTCTAGCTTTTGCTTGATACATCGTAGTTCTTGCAGCAAAACCGAATGTAAACCAATGTATACCAACCGATCAAGACAAATTGCACTTGCAGTTACATACGTGCATGTTTACCTTGAAGGCGGAAGTGGTCCTCAAGCAGGTCAAGCGGTTTGAAGAGGGTAGCGTGAGCGATTTGAAGCGAGAGCCGAACACTTAGCTGAATTGGTGCGATGAACACTTAGACTTCCAGGCTGAGTTGCAGATTGAATCCGGACTGAGGTTTGAAAGACGTGGACTTGTGGTGGAAGCTGGAACAGATTCTGTTCAGCAAGACGTTACCATCGCAGTCAAACGTTTAACATTGGGTTGTCAAGATGTTCGCAAGGCTCTGTCACTCTCAAAGAAGGCCACTGCCATACTCCTCAGTAACTTGCATCTGGACGACTAACAAGTTACTGTAATGAGCCCTGTGCCAGCAATGGCTGCCTTGTCAGACTTGGTTATATAGAGAAGTCCTCCACATGTTAGAAACATGAACAAGACCCAACAAAAGCTTAAGCTGCGTGAATGCAGAAGGAAGGAAGACAGAAACGACCTCGGAGAAACATCATATAACACATAATTAAATCTTGTTTCAGCATGTTTCAGCAAGTCTTAGTCGTCGAAGCATTGGGATCATGCTGAAAGACGTAATTCAAAGTGCGAACACGTCGGCACGAAAGGCTTGTGCCATGCAAAAGAGGAAACAACATATTGCACCCTGAGGGGCAAGACAAGGAATTCCCCCGAACATGGTCTCTTGGAATTTCAGCGATCTTGTTGCACATCACACACAATCTGAAGAGCAATACCGGCAGACGAATATGAAAACAACAGCGGCTGAGCTGTTCGGTTCCCTTGATTACACAACCCTTTCTTGTACGCAAAACATGTCGTGTCTGCTCTTCTTCTCACGGCTTCTTTCGTTCGATCGGCTTCTTTCGCTGCAAAGTGTTCGATGTGCGATCAGGTCATTGGGACGTCCTGGTCTGAATAATGAGACTTGTTAGGCTAGTGACCCAGTGACGGTCAGTGGTTGCAGTTGATTTGCTGCGTACCCACATCGTTCACCCACGAGTATCGCATACCTTTTCCATTTGGGTCGGTGTTCGCACCAAGAAACCGATGGCTCGGTGGACGCCTGTTCGCTCGTCCCTTTGACAACAACTCAATCGAAAAGGCACTGAAGGCACTGCGCGTCATGTTGTGACAAAGATCACCGACCTAGAATGAAGCGGCTTGCGTTCTTCTAGAACGGTTCGACACGTGCAGTTCAAGCACAAAACAGTTCAAGCTGCACTGGACATTCGGCACAAAGGCAGGGGCCCTTTTTTTAAAACATGCAGTCTTTGAGCTAATCTCCCTACATTGCGCAAGTAGCAAGACCAGAAGCTCCCAAATCCGCAAACCAGCTAGCGGAACAGCGCAGAGCGGTAGAGCGTCACGCACGAAAAAGCTGAATAGATGTGCCTGACCGAGGAGAAGCAGGACTGAGCCGGACATATTTGCTTTTGTCATGAAGGCTTTGTAAACATGTAGCTGTTTACGACTTGCCAGGTAAGCTTTGACATGTGCAGGGGCAAATCCAGCTTCGAGCTATAGCACCTGCCGTGGCACAAGGACATGCTGGCAAAGCTAAGCAACGTTTTGGTTTGGGATGAGCTTTCGTTGAGTGTGCTGCAAAAGGTTTGCAGCCCCATAGCAGCAACCAGTGAAGAGCTAACGACAACATCCATGGAAAAGACCTGCTGAAGGCAGTCAGAGCTTATATGGAAGTTTCTTTCTTCATTTTTGTTTTCTGTAGCTTTTGCAGCTTTGGTGTACCTCTTATATAACATTCGCTATTCTGAGGTGAACGCAGCTTGGGCAGTCCCTTTGGAGCAACGCGCGACGCTTGTCTGGTAGTTCATTTGGGATGCTGACGGCAATGCAGCAGGATGATGATGAGGATGATGATAGTGATTCAATTATGAAAAAGAAGATGACACCTACTCGTACATCAAAATACTGCTATAGCGTTATACTATTTGCAGTGTCTCTTATAGACATAACTGCAAAGGTTTTCAGCACAATATCATGATGCGGATGACTGTAGCTTTACATTTTTGTTTGTATCCATTTTCCTTTTTTTGGTACTACGTTGATCGAATATCTTATTGTTCTTGACCAGCCTATCAAATCTAATCTATCTATCGACTATCCACCCATGTACTCTTTTACTTTCTTCAACTTATCTGACCTTATCCTCAAGAGTTAAGAAATTACTTTACTTCGAGTGATCCCCACCATGACATTTCAATCATTTGTCTTGATGCCATAGTGAGGAGCATGTTGCCATGGTCGTGAGTATTGTAGCTCTCAATTTTGCTTGTGGGTCCTCGGGTTGTGTGCTGTGGTTCTCTGTTGTGCTTGTGGTTGTGTGTTTGTTGTTGTGTGTTTGTTGTTGTGTTTGCGGTTGTGTGCTTGTTGTTGTGTGTTTGTTGTTGTGTTTGTGGTTGTGTGTTTGTGGTTGTGTGTTTGTGGTTGTGTGCTTGTGGTTGTGTGTTTGTGGTTGTGTGT